GAGCACGGGGACCAAAATGCTCTAAAGCTGGGAAAAGACGAGAAGACACAGCCTGCGGTGGCTCTTTATCACCCCCGCATCTCAAGCCAAGTGCCTGCCAGCTGCGATGCGTTGAGAGGACTTCCCTGCCCACAAACGGCCTTAGGGATGAGCTGGGCAGGATTCGTGGCCCCCATTCGCTCAGTGAGGCTCTCCCCACCCCCTGTGCACAGAGACCTCCAGGGAAACAGCCCCACATCCCTGGGTGCTGGATTTTCCCTGTGGAAAATGGCTGTAGCATACGAAGAGCAATCAATAAAGGTCAGTGAAGTTCAGCTCCTGATCTTGCATGCAATTCCTTGTTGGGCCCTGCAGGAAGGGAAGGCTTTAGCTCCTGCTGGCACCGGAGCACCTCCTCAGTCTGCTCAGGACTGTAGATGGTGCTGGAGGACCAGGGAGCACCAAGCCCAGCCGTGCAGAAACCAAACTGAGACCCCTTTTAGACAGCCCGGGGGCTCGGAGGAGAGGAAGAGCTCACCCGGACCTCTCCTCCCTGCTGCCCACCACCAGCCCAAGGCTGCTGCAGGACCAGCTCAGCCCATCTCCCCTCCGAGCATCCCATGGCCCGGGGCTGGCGGAAACCCGACCTTTGCTGAAGTTCAGTGAAGATGGGGGCTGCGACCGCAGCCAGAGGAACACAGACACCATCGCTGCAAGCAGCAGATCACGACGAGAGCGAGTATCGATCACAGGCCAAGGAAAATGATGAAACAGAGCGAATTCCAAACAGATACATCAGTAGCAGTTACAAAATAAGACACATCAATCAGTTTATGCTACCGCTCTGCTCTGAGTCACGCTCCTTTAACTCATTAAAAAAAAAAATCAATATTTCTATCAATTCTGCTTGCCTGCAATAAGAAAAAATAGTGACTAAAATGAGAGCTTTCAAAATTAAACACTGACACACAGATCTAAAAGGTTGGAAGGAGGACAGCAGTGTAGCTTTTTTCCTCCTAGTTCTCATCACTTTTCTGTGGTTCTTTAGAAAAATAATAGAAAAAAGCAGCAGTGGTGGTTACAGACATTGACAACCGCTGAAATGCCCGTGTGTTATGTGAGTGTCTGGCAGGTGGCAGAGATGCTGTGAAGCATAAGACATTCCCCTTGTCATCTTCCTACCTTGTTCCCACCAGAACACTCTTCCCTCTCCCACCTGGGAGCAGCGAGCAGGGCACAGTTGCAGAGCCACGAGCCAGGTGTGAGCTCGTGTGGCTGCAGCAGCGAAGCTGATCAAATCATGGCTATGCACCGCAATGGGAAGACCCAGCCTACAGTTTGTATTTTGAGCTTGTGCAATAACAAGAAAAACTTTCCTCCAGTTATGCAGTCAGCTCTGCTGAGATTGGCAAGAAAGGGTCGCTTACTGGCACACAAAATCGCATATTGGAGCTGGATGCGTCCTTCTCCAAACTCAACTCGGAGGCTGCTGGGCATTTCCAAGCTGGGAGATGGATCCAGGACAAGCCCAGGGCTTGGTTCCTCTGGAGGCAGCCACTTCTCAGCAGTGCCCTGCTCCACCAGAGGCCGCTTCCCAGCTGTGGTTTGTTATGGGACTACAGGGGGATTTGCGAGAAGGGGCTGCCTGGGTGCCGCAGGCACCAATATGCCCAGTACAGGAAGGTTTCAAAGCAGCTTTGGCAGCCAGTTGCTGAGCATCACTTGCTTTAGTTCTGTGGTTTAGTCAGTGCTCAGATGGCTCCATCCTTGCCCATCGAGAAGCTGAGTTCTTCCTTGGGGATTTAGCCAGAGGGACCCTAAGCCTCCAAAACAGTGCTAGAAAAAACCAAAACCAGTTTCACTCATCAGGATTTAAAGCACCTCTCTTGCTGGTACAGGTTCTGCCTGTTGTCTCAAGGAGACATTGTACAATCCTTCAGTGTCTGAGCTCTCCCATTCAGACTGAACAGACCTGGTAGGAGCAAAACCATATTTGAGGTTTAATTATGGCTGGGATTCAGTGCCTCAGACCCCGTCCGAGCTGAGTTGTCTGCTTACCAGGTGCCCAGCAAGCTTGCCTTTTAGAGAAACCAATATCTGAGCTGTTTTGTGCTGTGTTGAAATCCAGTGTTTAAGTTCTCACATGTGAAGCGCCGAAGTGTGAAGGTGCAGGCTACCAATGCAAAGCCCTGGAAACCTGGAACAGATCTCCGTCCTCACCCCAGAGGAACTCGGGAAGAGAAGGCCCAATAAAAATCCGCCAAGTAAACATCAAGCAAGGCAGGATTCATTTGATCCAGGACAAAAGCACATTCAATCTTGCACTCCTCGACTGCTAAAGCAAAAAGCTCTGCAATAGCTGGGGGCAGAGGGGACAGAAAATGAGAAAAATCATTTATTTAACCCAGTCGCTGGAGCTCACGGGGTTTCCTGCCCGTTCCATCTGCTTGGCAGAAATCGTGGCGAGTACTGGATTAGAGGGGCAGCAGAGCTGAGCAGCAGCAGCAGGAGGCTGCGTTCCTACGGATTAACCCAGGAGCAGCAGAAAACCAGATGTTCTGAGCACACGAGAGCAGCAGTGCTTGTGTGCGCTTGGCGTTTCTCTGCAGGAAAGCTGGCAAAAATCCCTGCATTGCTCCCACCCCAGCCTGAACAGGGCCCAGGGCTCTCCCATGAGATGGAACAAGGGAACGTGGCCACCCCCTCAGGGAATGGCTTTCTCCCGGCCTCGTGCCCTCTCTTGGACCGTTTCCTTCTTTACCTCATTTCTTCTCTTTCTCCTTTCAGTCTCCTATCTAGCAGAAGTGCTCCTCTGTCAGATAAGGCGGCTGCTGTAAGCCTGTAATGAGAGAAATGGCCAAAAGCAACAGCCTAAAACCTGCCCGATCCTGGTAGCAGCCTGCCAAATCTCATAGGGGATAATGAGTCCTGGATGTCAGCGTGGTGTTTCCCAGCAGTGACGCTGCGATAAAAATTATATCTATATAAACTGATAAGAAACTCCCAAACAGCCTTCCACACCCTCCAAGTGTTTCCTAACCTTTTTTCACCAGCTGCCTGTCCCCATCCCCATTTATCCTCACCTCTAGAAAGATTTGGGCATCTCTGGAAGGAGAGTAAATCAGCTTGCCCTAGCCCTGCCATTGCAGTCGTGGCAGTTTCATCTCAGACCCACAAACACCGCATCTGCATCACCAGGAGAAATAAGAGCTGCCATTCCAGACCTGGGAAACCATCCCTCTCGCCTCGTACCTTGTCTCCATGATAGACAGATATCCCAAACCCCGCAACGGGAAGCTCTTCACCGAGGCTCTCTTTAACCTCAGGCAGTGGGAGGTACTGACACGAAGGAAGATGGTTTTCATCCTCTACGTTTAACGGTACCACACATATTTCATATTTCACATAAACAGCTCTACTTGGACATTTCCATATCCACTTGAGCACCCCTGGTCCCGGGCAGCTCAATACAGATCACCCTGATGCGTCTCCCCGCTCCCACTGCGGCACCGGGCGCATGCAAAGCAGAAACCGGCCAATGCCCTGATCCAGCCTTTCCCGAGGCAATTTGCTATGTAATGATTATAGAGTTGAGAGAAAGCAATTTCAGGAAAACGAGTTTCTCTGTAGAAGGAATTGAATAGAGGAACTACCATAATAACCTGATACAATCATTTATTTAAAAAGCAGCTGGCACCATACGAAGCGAGCAGAGACAATTTAGAGGCAATTCTCTGCAGAGACTGCACCACCTTCCCCAGGTCTGGGGCACGGCAGAGCCTCGCACACTGCGGAAACCAGAGGCTCTCGCTCCAGGTGGGCAAATACCGGGATTTCTGAGGGAAAGGGTGGCAATTCTCAGGTCCTGTGAACCCACATCTGCCTGGGCCTTAGAGAACACGAGGCCCCGAGTGTCGTTTCCTTCAGACACCTCGTGCTTCCCACATGAGAACAGACGTCCTGCTGGATACAAAGCAAAAGGCCAGAGACTAAGCTAAATTAAAACATGGAAAGCACTATTACAGCCCAGAAATGCAAAGAGTCACTCGGTTCTGCAGCCTGGTTCTTGTCTCTTGCTTCAGAGCAGAGAGAAATGTGTCCTGACACTGTGGATGCCACAACTACAAGAAGTGATGAGAAACTCTCACTGCTGACCTTTAGCAGGGTATTCTCTTTTTCCGTACCTTAG